CCCTTCGCACGGGATCAAACGTCCAAAGTGCCCGATACACCTTGATGTCATATGGGGCCGATGACCACTACCACAACCGGGAATGTGTGTTTGGTTCTTACGCCTCCTCATGTTTGGTTTGGAGTCAGGGTTTTTGATCAACTCCCTTAGGCGAACTACCAGTAGTCATCCAACCCGATTATAGCCCAGAATGTCGGGGAGGGGTAGAACTGTTTAATCCGTAGCTGTCTGGAGCGGTGACGACGTCTGTGTCACACCAACACTCAACGGATGTGATGGTATGATATGTACCGCCTGGACATCACCGCAATGATCTGAAGACATTGCTGTTCACACACTGATAACGTTTGTACATCTTCTACACATCGTGATCACAACGCACTTGACAGACTAGCAAATTCGGTATCTTCATTTTGCACCTTCAAAATGCAAAGTGATGCTGCAAGTCCCGTTCTGAAACTAGACGGTCAAGACTTGGTTAAATTTGACTGTTTCCCGCACTTGGATAAAGCTGCGTGACCAACGACGATAGTGCATCAAAGGAGATAACCGCGCGCATTTCCAAGGATCAAACAGTGTACGCGGTACTGAAACACCTGTGGCGACGACGTGACCCTTCACTGAGGTTGGAAAGTCGCGTATATTGCTCTACTGTACGATCAGTTCTACTTTTCACGGTTGTAAGACCTTGAATTTACGGATAGAAGACACCCGTCGTCTGGGGTTTTCCGATAATGGATGCTTGTGTAGTCTGGTCCAGGGGAGTTAGAGTGCGCGGGTTAATAACCTAGATGTAAGTAATCGGGTGTTCGGGAAAGCATCAGGCACGAATGGGTTAGCTCTTCGCATTCAGCTCAATAGGCTCTGTTGGTTAGGATGCGTTTTGCCTATGTCTAACGGTCGCCCACTGCACCGCGTCTTATTTGTGATGGCCGCTACAGACTGGAGAAAGCCACGTGGAGACGAGGCATGAAGAAATGTACAGAGCGATTAGGTAGAGTAGGTGTCTCTCGTCTTCCGGGTCGGGGTCCCAAAGACCCCGTTACCGGATAATTGAAGACATTGAAGATCATAACAGCAAACCGACAGCAGTGGCGATCTAGCTATCACTTCACATCAGGCTAGAATGCTTGAAATAGCATGTATGCACAGTTGTACTGTGTACTCTGTGTGCGTTGACCATGGAGGTTCACTTTCTTTTCCCGTCCCTAAACATAAGCCTAATCCCTATCCTTCTGACACATTCTCACTCACCTTGTATGCATTACACGTTTGGCAGCGATCAATGAAGTTCACTTCACTGTGTTACGCTGTACGGTACAGATTTGAACATTACAACAATACTACTATACGGTGTTCCGTATGAACATCTAACATTTGCACGTTAATTCCATTGGTGGGATCAGGCTAAATAAATTGGAATTTGTTTCACTGTTGCCCGTCATCTGCCAGTCATATTCCCACTCGCATTTGTTCCCCCCCAATGCCCCTCCCCGATCCCATAAACAGCGGGCCTCATGATCACCTCGGCGGTGTTTCGCATCGGATCGACAGTGATTTCGTGCGTTTTGCACATATGTCTTCCTTTGTTCATGGAATTGGTGAATATGTTGTATTTGAAAGTGAGTGAAAGTGGTNCCCGCGCACACATTCGATGAACAGTGTTCATCCTTATTGACACTCATCAATCGGGAACTCATGCACAGTGGTTTTATTCACTGGTGGACAGAACAATAGAATGGATAACAACTTTTTATGAACCGCAAAACGATCGAACCTCGTAGTCATGAGAACCGGTTGTGCACTCAGGTAAACCGGCAACCTAAGCCCCGGGACTTGGAGTTGCGAACCACTAAAGAGCACCACCCCATTAGCAGAAGCGTATTATCGAGCCGGACCCCGAGCAAACTGCTTACCAACAAAGTTATCGGTATTGGCCAGGTTCGAACCTCAAACTCTGGGCCGCAAAGCACGTGGGTAAATGAAAAAGGGCGCACATACGGTTTGCGCAACTTTAACTGTGCACAGAGTATTTACTTACTGGTTTTAGATGCATGCACTTGTTGATTAGTAGGAGAAAAACCTACGCGAATTTACGTGGATCTTCAATTTTGTAATTCCGTGTCAGAGGTGATACAGTATGTGTATCGATCAATTATACGGCATAGTCAAGTGTGGATGTCTTGGGATATGATTGGTTGCCCTTCCTGTGCACCTCATAAAATGCTCCCATAATCTGTACTGAGGAAGCCCTCTGCGCTCATTGCCTTCACATGACGCGGAGTGGTTGTCACATCAAAATGAGAAGACAAAAAGTCCACATCAGTGAACGCTTGACAGTTCATTTGTGCGGGGGAAGAGGGAGTTGACTAAACCCGCTGATTCCAACTCGACCAAGAAGGGGTGTATGAACCACCCACCTAAATCTTCCTGGGTCTGGCAGCGGTCACCGGCTCAATTGAGCATCTTGGAAGTTTGACCCTGTCTAAAGGCGGTTTAGACACCGTTCCTCCCCCTTTGATTGCGGTTTCTCCCACACGACCTTGCTTCCTGGCCGGTCAGATCATCCGAAGCTCCAGGTGTAAATCACTCGAGAAAATTCACTCGCTTTGATCTGACCTAACTGGCAGTACTTTGCCCACTTTCACATGGTGGACTTATTTCTTTGTTGCATTGTGGTTTCACGTAAGTAGTGAAGTATTTGATTCAATTTCAAAGTGGAATTTCGTCGTGTGAAGCGTGAACTGAAAAGCTAGGAACCGCTGGACTGCTGTTTCGACCTGGTTGGGTCTCATCAGCAGTGCGAATCCATCGACCCAACTGGGGATCGAAACCGGGACCTCATGCGCAGAACGCAAGCACGCTACCCACTCCGCCACTGGGCAGCTGATCAGACCGTTTTTTATTTTCCACTTACGCGATATAACACAACCCATCTCAGGCGGACGGAAATGACCATCATGCAGGGGTGAAACTCACAGATTTTCCCGCAAAAGCCTTTTGTAAAATCACTCTAAATGCTTATCTTTTGTGTGACCCGAAAAGGAAGTTATCCGGACCCATCCTGATTGTTTTTCGATCTATGATCCACTCTTTACCAACGACAATGCTTGACTGAAGGAGTTGAGGATTGTGCGTGAAGTGTATTCTGAAGGACGGTCAGTTCCAATCCATCCATATCAATTATTCCACAACACTACTCGCAAGTAACTGTGAGTTAAATACGAATTATCAATCTAGCCTTGTAGGTTTGTAGCCAGTTAACCCGTACTCTGTATGGAAGACCGAATTTGGTGGGAGGCTTTCGATTGGAGTTAACAAATAATCAACTGTCTCCCGTCGTTGCTGTCGGACCTAATTAAATTGAATGACTATCTCTTAAGACGACATCTGGACAAACATGCATTAGTAATTCGGTTCAGCCCGGGCATGAGCTGGATGGCACAGTGGTAACACACGCCTTCCATGCAATGGGTCCGGAGTTCAATGTCCGGACGGGACGACAGAAATGCTCTATTAGTGAGCTCTAATAAGAGCGAAACTCGAGTTTGGTGCTTTCGAGTGTATGGTTGACTCTGAGAGCTGAATAAATTCTGAAGTTGATGGTCAATTCCAATCAACCAGCATTTACAAAGCATCAACTAATGTATGCAGTGAAACAAATGGGAGCCCATTTTTCCATGTAACTTGCAAATGCTTTCTGTGTTGCTGCAATAAGTAATTAGTAGCCAGGTTAGGCTTGTATCATTTTAGTACTGTTTTTCGCATTTTCTTGCTTGCAGAAAATCTGCGACCGAATCTCTCTGTTAAAATCAAAATCTTCACGAGATTCCTATCCGGTCAGTCAGACCAGTGAAAAGCAATCTGTCGGGGGCACGATCATGGATCGTCTGTATGCGCTGATCTTTTTCGTTCTTTTCCAAATACAGGTAAGTTGTATTT